GGGGGAGGGGGTGTGCATGTGGGGACATGCCTGACAAGAGGGTGTGCATGCACGGAGGGTGTGTCTGATGCGGGAGCATGCATGTCGTGGCGGGGTGTCTGATACACAGGGGTGTGCACGCAGGGAGCATGTCTGATGTGGGGTTATGCATGCGGGGCGGACCTGTGATACATGAGGGGCGCACACAGGGTGACATCTCTGATACACGAGGGGTATGCATGCAAGGGAGGTGTCTGATGCTGTGGGGCTGGATGTTTGTCTTTCTGTGTTGGGGTGTGAGACCCATCCAGCCCCCATGCCCCGTCTCACCCAAGGGTTGTGTGGGAGTGATAGGCTAGACAGTCTGTCTAAGCCCACAATCCCCCTGCACCCTGCAGGGCAAGAAGTTGATCCCCAGCCTGGAACCTCCCCACACCGTTTCTCTGATCCCAACCCTGCCCTGCAGGATGGGGAAGCAGTGTCCTGGGCAGTGAATATCTCTAGAAGGAGTGGGGCAAGCCGTGGCCATCTCCCCCAGGTCCTAAACCCCACCGGAGCAAGAGCTGAAGGGTTAGAAATGACTCATCTAGAGTATCTGTGGGGGTAAGCGGAGGGGAGGAGCAGCATGTGGGGGCCAGAGGAGGAGTAAGGGGGCAGTATGTTGGGAAGGGCAGAGGGGATTCCTAGGCCAAGGAAAGGGGGAGAGAGATTTGCTGGCCATGGAAAGGGGGGCAGCACACTGGGCTTGGGGGGAGGGGTTTGCTGGGGGCAGTTGTGCACTGGGCTAGGGAAGGCATGCTGGGCTTGGGGGACAAAGGGGATTGCTGGGTGGGGAAGGGTGGAGCACTCTGGGCTGTGGAGGTTGCTGGGTGGGCCTGGGGGGGACAGAGGTTGGGGAGGGGAGGAGGTAGCATGCTGGGCTGGCAAACAAGGGGGCTATGGGAGATGAGAGAGATGGGCAGTGCACTGGGCCAGGGGAAAGAGGCAGTGAGCTGGGCTTGGTCAGGGAGGAAGAGAGGGCCATGTGTTGAACTGGATTGGGGCATTGATTGGCAGGGGAGGGGGGGTTCCTGGGCCAGGGGAGGGGGGGAGGGATTGCTGGCTGGTGCCTTGCCCAGACAGGGAAGCGGGAGAGGGAACAGCCCCAGCCAGCAGGTGCCCTGGCTGTGGTGCCCATGTGCTAATGATAAGGGCTAGGGGCTGCTCACATTTGGCATCTGACACGCAGTGGTTGGGCGACCAGACCAGCATCCCCTTCAGCTCCTTGTTGCTGTAGCGAGCGGGGCTTTCTGCATCAGACAGACAGGAGACAAAGGGTCAGCACAGAGCTCCCCGCACCAGACACTCCTGGGCCCCACACATCACACAGCCCCCAAGCCCCTGCTCTGCTCTAGGACTCACTCCACAAAATGAAGAGGGCAGCAGGGACCAAGACCCCACAGCTCTGCCAGTGCCCTTCAATCCTGACCCGCAGCCCCCTGCTATGCTGGCCCTGGGCTCTGCCCACCACACAGCTCTGATGATGCCCCTCAACCCCAACCCACAGCCCCAGTGAGAGAAAAGCAATTGTACTGAGCCCCCCAGCAGCCCAGCTGGCAGCGGAGGCAGCTGTGGCCCTATGCCAGGAAAAGCTTCTTGCTGTGCCAATGCACAAGTGCGGGGAGGAGAGACTATGGGCACAATCAGGCCCAGAGTATGTTGCTCTGCTCCTGGTAATGGGGGAGGTGGGGCGTTGGCAGGGGCAGGCACCATGCAGGAAGGAAGCAAGTACACTTTTCCCCTCTGCTCCTCCGCCCTTTTGAACCTTAACAAAGCCCAGCACCCCCATTCAACCCCACACAGGCACTGTCTTGGGGGAGGGGGCTCCCACAGCATGTGAGGGTGGAGGCTGCCTACAGACAGACCAACCCCCCACTCCTCTCTCTGCTCCCCCCATCAAGCCCGCACTGAGCGAGGCTGGGGGGTACAGCCATTGGTCCTGGGAGACTGGAGTAAGGATTTCAAAGGAGCGGTGCCTCCTGCTGTCTCTGCCCCTCCCCAGGAATCCAGACGGCATCAGTACCCTTACCTGGCTTGCACTCAGGGATCACAGCTTGGTAATCAGCCCCCACCCGAATCATGCTGTCTACAAGGGAAGGAGAAGGGCAGGTGTTAGGGAGCAGCTGCAGTTGAAGGACAGAACCCAGGAGTTAGGCCCCCAACCCCTAGCTGCCCTCCCCTAAGGGAGGGAAGTCTTGGACCTTCCTGTGAGCGCCAAGCTTGCACAGAACAGAGCTGAGATGTGACACGGGTTGGTTGGGAGGCCCCACAAGGTGCTGCAGGAAGTGATGGCTCAGTAGGGGGTGCTCTCCCCTGCAGTCAGTGCTGATCCCAGTGCAGCACTAGGGGGTGCTATGCTGCAGGGAGCTGGGCAGGGGGCTCAGTAGGGGGTGCTCTCCCCTGCAGTCAGTGCTGACCCCAATGCCCCAGTTAAGCACTAGGGGGCGCTGTGCTGCAGGAAGTGAGATGGGGCTCAGTAGGGGGCTCTCCCCTCCCAGTCAGTGCTGGCCCTAATGCAGTATTAATTCCTAGCTCTGGTAAATACCATTCTTCTTAAATACCCTGTCACATAAGTACAGCTTCTCCTTCACTTCCCAAACTACGTGTAGCTTTGTTTAGCTGTTAATCAGCCCAGACAGCCCTCCCCAGAAGTGGCTGCATCCCAGCACCAGGCCAGGGATCCCTGTATATAAACATCCCCCCCGTAGCTGCATATCAGAGTTGGACAAGCAATCTAGCTCTAGACGCACTGGTTCACGGGGGGGGGGGGGGGGGACTACACTATCCCATTCCCCTCTCTACTTCCCACCCCACCCCTGGCTCCCTTTCCCAGGAAGCCTGACTTGTCACAGCTGCAGCCTGATCTGGAAGCATTTAGCCAGCGCCTGCCAAGGAGCTGCCCTGCTTTCACTTTCCGGCACGGGGCCCAAGAAACACACGCGAGGGAGGGGGAGGTGGGGAGAGGACGTGGGGAGGGAGGAGGTCTGCTCCTAGGCGGATCCCACACCCACAGGGAAGATAGAGTGGGAAGGGCCCCCAGCTGTTGATGGGTACCACCCAGGTAGCAGCCCCCTTCCTGCACACAATATAACCCCCACCCTCCCGGATGCAAACCCCCCGCCCCCGGCAGGGGGTGGTGGCTGCCTGCGGCGCAGCTGTGACAGGCGCTCTCGCTGGGGAGGAGGGGGTGTCTTTGGCAGAATTTCCCAGTATCTTGACCAGCTGGGGGCGGTGGGACGCCACCCCCTGCACACTTGGGGGAAGAACATGAGAGGTCTCGGAGGTGAGGCCCCCGTTTCCTTAGTGATGGGCTAACAGGGCTGGCAAGGGAGGGTGTCCAAACAGCAGGCTAGCACTCCACCCTGTTGACCCCCCCACCCCATACTCCTGGGTTGCTTGTGCCTCCCCAGAGCCAGCAGCAAAGGGGCGTAACTGTCCCCCCACACACATTCCCCAAACGGATTCCACATGGCCGGTGGGAGGAATCGGCCGCTCTAATCTCCTTGGATCCCCCCAGCACATCCCTTGCTGGCGCTGGTGTGCGGCGGGGGGAGGGGGGCTAACAAAGCCGGCTGACGCTGGGAGGCAGCAGGCACACACGAGGGCGCCAGGGGACAATGGGGTCGAAGCTGTTAGCAAACGCAACCTTCCAGTGATGCCCCGGCTCTTTGTTCAGCCGGGAGCGTCCCTTTGCTCACCCTGGGGCTAAGTTTGGGAAGGGGTTGGCCCCCAACACCCTAGTGTTGTTCTGTCCTTCCCCCTCCTCACCCCCCCCCCTCCGCCGCCCGCTCCAGGGATCGGGCCCCAGCAGGGATTGCAGGAGAAATAATATTCCAGCATTGTTGTATTCTACACTGTGTTCTAGTCCCGGGCCGCCCCGGCTAACCCCAGGAGCCATGGGGGTCACCACGTCTCCCCGTTGGACGCCAGGTGAGGAGGGGATCCCGAGACGCCGTAGAAAGTGGGGTTAATTCAAGTCACTAGGGAGATAGCATCTTCCCTCCCCGCGCACCTCCTGGTTCTGGGGGAACTGGGCCACTCGCTGTCACTTCCCCAGACCCGGGAAGTTGTCGCCAGCTCCCTATTCCTGACCCTTAGGGCCTCGCTCTCCAGCAGAGTTTTTCTCCTCCACGGGGAGGTGCGGTCTGCAAGCGTGGCGTGACCCTCCCGTCCACACGCGTGGCGTATCACGACACCCCCCCCCCCAGACCGCACGCATGGCGTGAGCCCCTCTAAGTCCACACTCGTGGCGTGTCACGAGCCCCCCAGTCCACATGCGTGTCGCAAGTGAATCATTCTCGGCTCCCGTTCCGGGACACGCACGCGTGATCCGTGTGTGGAGTGGACCGTAGCTGGCTCCCTGCCCCTTGCACAATAGCTGTGCCCCCAGTCTGGCACTTACCATGCGAATGCTCTTCTTCGCTGCTCTCATCCTCCGAGGTCTGATGATTGCCATTGGTGGCCGATTTCGCCCGGCTCCTCGACAGGATCCCGGAGGCCGGGCCGGATTTTTCCATCACGGAAGGCATTGCCCCCCCAGCTCCCTCTGCTTTGCGGCCCCCTCCACCACAGGAATCCCCCCCTTTAGCCCTGGTTCAGGGTGGAGGACACGCGCGCGCTGGTCGGTGGCGACTTGAAACAATCCAAAATTAAAACAGCGAGGGGGCGAAACTTACAACCCTAGAAAAATCCATGGGGGGCGGATCCCAGGATGGAGGGATCCCCAAAATTCCCTGCAAAGGGGGAGGATTTCAGGGTTTCTTTTCCCAGATTGAAATCTTTCCTCCCATTCAAAAGTTTCCCAAACTCCCCTGAAATGAGGGGGGGACTTTCCAACAAACCCCTTTGCTCCCAACACCTGAGATTCCAGATACTTCACTCCCCCGCAAAAAATAACCTACCAAATGCAAAAAACGGGGGAGGGAATTGGGTTAAAAATGAGGGATTTCCCCCCAACTCTCCCCTGGGGACGATCTGACCCCAGTTTCCTTCTATGGCTTCTTTCTTCCTCCAAAGATGTAGCAACTTGTGCACAAAAATAAAAGTGACCTCCAGGAGTAGGGGGTGGAAATGGGGGGCTCCTGATTCCAGGGGCTGGGGATGCTGCAAGAAGAGGGGGGTTGACTCAGTGTGTGTGGTGGAGGGGGGAACCCTGGTGGAAAGTTGCGTGGGCAGGAGGCTTTACAGGAGCTCCTGTGCCTGCCTCCGTCTCTCCTCACACACACACACAATGAGAGTCAGACTGGAGCTTCCTCGGTCGGCTCCTGCTGCTTGCTGCTGCTGGGGAAAAGTAGTTCCAGCTCCCCTGGCCTCAGCACCTCCCAGCTGAACCCCTCCGCCTGGATGCACATCTGGCCAGAGGGGGGCAGGCAGGGGCAAGAGGCAGGCGGAAGGAGGGAGGGAGAGAGTTGAGCCCAGATGTGTATGTAAGGAGGGGAATGTACTGAATGAGAGGAGCTGCTGGGTGGGTCTTTATGTTGTCTTTTAAAATGCCCCTCTCCCTGCAGAAGGGATGAAAGGGAGAGAATGAGAGAAATGGAGGGCTGTTCAGAGACAGAGACACCCAGGGGTGCTGGAATCATTTTTACAGTGGGGGTGCTAAGAGCCATTGAACCAAACTGTAAACCCTGTATAGAATGGAAACCACTTCAAGTCAAGGGGTGCAGCATCCCCAGCACCCCTAATTCCAGCACCTATGGTGACACCCCCCTCCCCCAGCAGGAGACTAGGCGGCTTAGCTTTTGCAATGGATATATTTCTCCCCAGCCAGAACACACCCTCCCCTTTCTGCCTATTGCACTGTATGCCTTCTTGGACCAGATGTGCTTAGCGTATGTGGATGACTATAGATATGCATACATAGATTTAAATATATATAGAGAGAGCTAGATTAGATAAAGGAGTATATATGGGGAGAGACAGATAGAGATGGATAAGTGGAGAGGTATATAGGGTGATGGATATTTATGGGTAGATGGATCAATAGATAGAGGTGTTTGTATAGGGATGGATGGATAGATAGATATAGATCTATAACATCTATTCTCTCAGCCTATCACTTCTAGGAGAATCCCTTGTAATATATTTATTAGCACAGTATTAACATTGTTTTCTTATATGTTTATGTAAAGTAAATGAATGCTTCCTTCGATTTGTTTCTTTTTAGCTTTCTAGCCCTCCTGTCACCGGCTAGCCACCCCGGGAAACGTGTGTGTGTGTGTGGGGGGGGTAAAATATACCCTAGCAGCTGTTCAATGGCACTTTAAATAACACAATTGTAAGTAACACTGCATTCAAAACACTCTTAAAACATAAGCTTTTAAACATGGGTGGGGAGAGGAGAAGTGGGCATCCTCAAGTAAAACTCAAATCTATCTATCTAAGTAGTATAGGCAGAGCTCATACTTACCCAACAGTTCCCATTATTAGACCCTGTTTCCAGTTGCTTATAACTTTGCCAAACTTTAACCATTCAGCCTGAAATTTTCCATGGCGGGTGTCTGCCTCAGGAAGAACTTTTTTTTGGCAAATCTCAGCTAAAACAGTTCAGCCATTCCTGAGAATGAGATTAGGGAAAAATACATTGTTTGGCCCATGCTAACAATATTAAGAATAAACTCATGCCCTACTCACACCCCCAACCTCGGGAAGGGATCAAAGGAGTTAATAATCCAATGGAGATTTTAAGGCACATCTTTGCTAATAGCTGGGTTTTGCCAGCTGGTTTTAAACCCTCCCCCACTTTTGCATAAAGTTCTGAGGTGCAAAAAAGCAGACCAGATCCCTCTCCAGTAGGAGGGAAAGTAGCAGTGGGTGAGAGAAGAAGCTGTTTATCCCTAGACTCTATGATCTTCCAGTAGGTTGGGTGCTGAACTACTCTCTAGCATAGGCTGTTTGTACCTTCACAGTGCTGGTATTGATGCGGGTTGGGTATGTATGGGGGGAGGCCCTCTGGGAGCTGACTGGAGATTTGCTTGTTTCCCAGATGATTAGCTGGATTGGAATGCAGGAGTCAGGTATTTATTGGGTTACTTTGATGTAAATTGGTTACTCCAGATTTACACCACATAGCAGAACCTCAGATCAGGAATAGGACTGCAGTGAATACATGCAACCAGCGCACAAAAACCACCAACACTCACGTGTGCACACATAACCAACTCACACAACTAGCACACACAAACACAAATACAGTGGGCCCACTTCATCTTGTGCAAAGCAAGTGCCCAGCACTGCCACTCTGTGCTGCTGGTGTTTCATACCCACTGTACCCTGAGCATGTCTCTGTGGGCTGCAGCTGAGAACCAGGCCATGGGATGTTTAGGTCCAACTAGCTTGTGTTGTATTGGTGGGTCTGTTCAAGGGCTAACAATGTTGGATGTGACTGAGGGAGGAAGAGGGGGGTTGATTTCTGCAGACCACTAGCAAACAGCCTGGCACAAGCGGCACAGAACGGGGTGGGGGTGGGAACAGGAACATACACAATGCCCAGGGATTTGGCAGACTGCATAGCTTCCACTGTAGCAGCCATCTCCAGGCCCTGGCCGGGTGGGGTGAGCAGAAGGGGATCCCAGTCCCTGGTTCCCCCTGATGCTGTAGGGACCCTGGCCTGCCCAGCTAGTATTGTGTTTAGAGACAACAGCAACAGTGGAGCAAACACTATCTATCCATCCATCCATCCCCATATATACCCCTCTAAACTATCCCTCTATCTATCTAGCTAACTAGTACAGGCAGAGCTGGTAGAGAAGTTTACCCAATGCTTCCCATTATAAGACCCTGTTTCTAATTTCTTATAGCTTTGGCAACCCCCTGCCTCCGGCCACCACCTCATGCACATGTGTCTGCCTGCCTCTGCATCCCCATGCACACACCTCTATTCCTCCATCTCCATACACCCCCCATATATGTCCTTTATCCATCCATCCCCCAGCCCCATTCATCTATTCCTCCCTCTTTCCCCATAGACACCCCTACATCTCAAATGCCCCCATCCTGGCAGTATTCTAGTCACTGCCCCAGTGCCACAAACTCCCCCTATTAAATGCCCCCACAACCCCTGTCAACCTCCACACTGTTGTCAGCTGGAAGATGCAGCCCAGGCTCCATCCCCCAGTGTAAGGGAAGCTCTCTGCTGACCTTTTTTTTCCCCCCGTCTTTCTCCTTCTCCTCTCCCCACCCCCTCCCCCTGCAGCCCAACAAAGCGGCGCCATTGTCTGAGCAGACACCTGCTCGCCTGGCCCTCCCTCTCCACCACCGAGACAGGCCTGGAGAAACGGCTGGGCTGCAGGGAGGGAGTTTGTAAACACACCACTGGTGGGTGGCAGGAGGGAGGCGGGGCGAGACAAAATGGGAGCAGTAGGCTGGGGGGAAGCTGGTACAGGGATGGTGGGGAACTCTAGGGGAGCATGAGTATGGGGGAGCTCCCCCCCACCCAGCTGGTGCTACTGGCAATGTGCAGGAGTGGTGGGGAACCCCAGTGCTAATGTAGGCAGAACAGCAGCAGCAAACAGGAGTGAAAGGCCACCCTGTCCTCTTTCAATGCATGGTATATCGGCTGACTCCCTGCTGAATGTGTGCTGCTACTCCCGCTCCCCCCACCACCACCACACACACACACTTTGAATGATGCTACAGGAGTGGGGGTAGGAGGCTAAATGTCTCAGCAGAGACATCAGGTTGGCATTGGGCCCAATTCTTCTCTTGCCAGGAGGCCAGAATCAGGGCCCCTTTTCCCTCCCCATATGGTAGCACAGGGCTCAGACCCCCTCTCCCCTGGGGGATGTTCCAAAGATGGAGGGAGCTATTTTCAGATGCTCAATGTCAGGGCAGGAGGTAGATGGCAACAGCTGGGAGCTCTGGCCGCCCACTCTTTTTGCAGAGGAGAAATGGGGGGGGGGTGCCAAGATGCTGTTGGGGAGTCTGAGTGTGAGATACAGGCCCACACTTTGTTCCCATGGCAGCAGTGGGATGGGTTGAGTCATTCCCCCACACCAGCCCCTGAGTTAGTGCCCCCTGGGGTTTTTGGGAAGCTCAAGCACTATACTGCCCCTCCCAGAGGGCCATCCATGGGGCTCCCCTCCCAGGACCTCCCCTACGCTGGAAGTCTGGTTCCCTTGCTCCCAACCCACTTAACACACAGCACCTGTCACAGGGAGTCAGCAGGAGCACAGGGGGGATGGGCAGGGTCTCCAGGGTTGGGGGTGGATTCCCTCTGCAGGGTCGCTGAACCAGCTGGCCCTTGACAGAGAGGGACTGTGTGTGTGGGTGGGAGAGAGATGGTGTATATATGCGACTGAAACTGTGTATGAGAGAGAGAGAGACTATGACAGAGATTTTGTGTATGATTGTGTGTGTGAGAGAGGCTGCCTGTGTATGTGGCTCTGCGTGTGACTCTGTGTGCATGTGTCTCACATACTCATGCTGCATGTGTCTCTGTCTCGCACGTGCACTCATGCCCTGTGTCTATTCAATGGGAATTTTCCTCTCTCCTTTCCAAACCCCAAACTATAATCAGGCTCCTAAATTT